CACTTATCAACCATACAACGAAGAAGACGTAACTGCATCACTGCCCTAAAAGACTTAGGGAGTAACTGGGTGTTTGACCAATCAACGAAATGGTAGAGTTTTATTATCAAAAGCTTTTTACAATAAGTCACACTTATTCCTCCAACTCCTACACAGTAACCCCTTACAATTTACTAAATACTAATGATCATCAAAACCGTAACAGATCACTAACTATGAAAGAAATTTATTTTGCTTTAAACTCTTTTAAACCTTTTAAGGCACCAGGACCTGATGAATTACATCCATATTTTTACCAAAAGTATTGGGCGTATACTGCCTCTTCAATAATTTCTTTTTGCCATGAAGTCTTCACTTCCAAATACATCCCTCCAATAGTAAACAAAACGTATTTATGTCTCATTCCAAAAATTTCGCATCCATCCTCAATTACTCAATATCGACCAATCAGCCTTTGTAACACTCTCTATAAACTAATTACAAAATTATAGTAAATAGATTAAAGCCTTTATTACATAAGATTATTAGTCCTGAGCAATCTGCCTTTCTCAAAAATCATCGTACCTCAGATAATGCAATCATAGTACAGGAAATCCTTAACCATTTCAAATATAAAAAAGGCAAACAAGCAAACTTTCTCCTAAAATTAGATCTAGAAAAAGCTTTTGATCAAATGGAATGATCATTCAATTAAGACACATTACATTTTTTTAACTTCCCAAACCCTTTTTATCACTCTCATTATGTCATGCATCACTACTTCATCCATATCTATTCTATTAAACGGACACCTAACTGAATTTTCTACACCTAGCAAAGGATTGCGTCAAGATGATCCACTTTCACCATACATATTTATTTTATGTATGAAATGCTTATCCCGCCAAATCCACATAGCAGTTGATTATAAACAATAGCTGCCGGTACAACTCTCACGTCGAGGACCCTCTATCTCTCACTTACTATTTGCGATGATATAACTCTGACATCATGACTCACACCCCAAAGTATTCATACTATTATTGATATTCTCAATACTTTTACATATCACTTAGGACAAAAAATTAGTTATGACAAGTCAAAAATCTTCTTCTCTAAAAAATACCACTTCTATGGATAAACAACTTGTCCTTACTTCTTTTAGTATGAGAGAAGGTGTCAAATTTGGAAAATATTTAGGTTTTCCTTTATTTACTCAAAGACCAGTCCAAAGCGATTACCAATTTATTCTTGATAACATTAAAGCAAGGCTCGCGGGATGGAAAATTAATATGTTTAGTATGGCAGGAAGATGTACTTTAATTAAGTACACATTAAACGCACTTCCAACACATGTTATGCAAATTATACATCTGCCCCGCAACATCATACAATCAATGAAAAAATACCAAAGAAATTTCATGTGGGCTACAACTCAACACAAAAAGAAGCTTCACCTCATTAAATGGAACACCATCCAAAAACATAAGGAAAATGGGGGATTGGGCATCCACAATTTATCGATTAAAAATAATGCTCTACTGGGTGCACTAGCGTGGAGACTGTTCACATCTCCAAAAGCCCTATGGGCTTCTATACTCATCAATAAATACTCCTTCAAAACTAACCATCAACAATTTTCGAATATCTGGAGTGAACTTAGGATGACAACTTTGCCAACGGGGTATTATGGCATGTTGCAAACGGCTAACACATTCGATTCTGGACGGAACCTTGGCTTGGGCCAAATATCATACTGCGAAACCAAATTGAAGGCCCATTACCAAATAACAACCAAAACTCGACACTAACACATTACTTAACAAACCAAATGGTTAACATCAATGACTTGCCCTTTGAATTACCAATTAATCTAGTGAACAAATTACGTAACATTTATGTACAACCACTCCACAATCCACAAGCCTATGACAAAATTATCTGGGGGGATCCTAATGGAAAATTTACCGTCAAATCCCTGTGTAATAGTTTACAAACAAATCAAGAAATTAGCAACTTTAAATGGACATGGGCTTTAAAGTTACCACCAAAAATTAAATATTTTTTATGGTTAGTTGGGCACAATCGTCTTCCCACCAATGCCTATCTTTATAGACTCAACATTACTACATCACCAATATGCCCTATTTGCCAACAACACAGAGAAACCATTGCCCATATATTATTCAAGTGCCTAAACGCCATATCCATATGGTATACCCTGGGAATCACAAATGATATTAACACATTGGGAAATAATGACGTCTCACCAATCGGTGACATTCACACACTCATAAATTCTACTCCACATGTACCAACATACGCCCCAGTCCAAATACTCATCCCTTTTATACTTTGGCACATCTGGAACTGCCGCAACAGAAATTTTTTCCAACACATTAACATACAAACACTCACTTCATCAAATATTATCTTCTGCTACAGAATACTACCATCTAATCCAACAAACAACTCCACATACTCAAATAAGGAATTTGAACATCAAATGGGAACCACCTACTGGCGACACAATTAAACTTAATACAGACGGCTCCTCCAATGCAACACCTCCTAGATATGGGCTAGGAGGGGTATTCAAAAACTCCATAGGCACATAGATACTAGGGTTCACTGGAAGCAGACCCACAAGAGACCCTACTACAATGGAACTCTGCGCATTATTCTAAGGTGTGCACATTACATGGCAACATAAACTATTATCACTGGAAATCAATGTCGATTCTATTGAAGTAATATCTATGTTAAACAACGATAACATACACCACTCATCACTACTATGTGAATGCAGATACTTGCTACATTAGCTGGGTAGCCTGCACATCATGCATACATACAGAGAGCAGAACAGAATTACTGATAGCTTAGCAAAATATGGAGCATCTATAGAATTAGGAGCAAACATGCATCTACTACCAGAGCCGCCAACTTTTTTGCAAAAAGAATTGACTGCAGACCAACAAGGCACTATCTACTCAAGAAAATCATCTATATCGGCCCAGAACGCTCCTCTTACTTTTTGTTTAGATGAAACATCCACTGAATGTATTATTGTGGAATTAGATGAACCATCATGCATACATACAGAGAGCAGAACAGAGTTGCTGATAACTTAGCAAAATATGGAGCATCTATGGAATTAGGAGCAAACATGCATCTACTACCAGAGCCGCCAACTTTTTTGCAAAAAGAATTGACTGCAGACCAACAAGGCACTATCTACTCAAGAAAAGCATCTACATCGGCCCAGAACGCTCCTCTTACTTTTTGTTTAGATGAACCCTCTACTGAATGTATTATTGTGGAATTAGATAGACATTAGAACAACAACGTACCTACATGCACTTTTTGTAATCCAGGGAACACTACTGCCAACGCTCCTTGTAATGTAACTTGTTTTTAATATAAAGTCATTTCGTTGGTTGACAAAAAAAAAAGCATTATTCAAGCACAAGAGGAAATAAGAGCATTCAAACAAGACAAAGTTACTGATGGTATTTTTTATGCAAAAAAGCAAAAAAGAAAAATCGATATCCTCATTGTAGATAATGCAAAAACAAAATTAAAAATTAAACAAATTTTGTTGGTGGAGACCTAATACATTATGTGAAAATTACAACAAACATGTCATATTAAAAAAGTATGCAAGTTTAAAGATACCCATTCACAAGCACTAATAGCAGAAGCAATAATTGATGATGATCAACTTTTTTAGACTGCAACAACAGAAGCAAGAATGAGTATTACAATTTACATATGTTTATGCTATCGCTTTTTCTAGAATAATTAATTTAGTTATAAAAGGAGTCCACTAGTTAATTTGCTAGAATATTAATTTTAGCAAGAATCTAATAATTTAATTGTAGGAGGAGTCTACTATTTTTTTACGTGCCTATTTAAAGCTGTTTGATTAATGAAATTTTAGCGACAAATTTTCGACCATATTTTCAACCTTCTTGATGTTTACAGTTCCATAACATCTTGCTGACATGACTTAAGGATTGGAATTAAACCTTGTGTCTTTATTTACCTCCCCCTTCACTCGTTGAAGCACCTTGGATCCGCTTGCGTCTTTATTCTTTTCAAGGAAATTGCCTTCAAATTCAAGCACTTACAGCAAACATCATAGAGATATCAAGAGACCAACATTTTCAAAAATAATAGATCACTTTTTTTTTTGTTTAAAATTTTAGTTTATGTACACTAGGAGTTGTAAATGGATTCTAAATGAATAGTTATTAATTATTTTTCTTTCTTTTTTGATTCATGTCAACACATGACAATTGTCTATATATTTATATATACATAAAATAATTTGTATTACTTGTAAATAATAACTAAATATTAATCATTTTTAAACTTTACATTATAAATATTAATAGAAGCTATAAGGCCAACGTCTTCATTCCTAATTTCCTAATAAACCAAAATATTCAAATTTCCAATTTGTGCATTATGACAAATCTTCGAAGAATAGAAAATGACTAACGTTTTGTGTTCAATATTAGGTCATAACAATTTTTATAGATATTTCTACATACGTTCTTAGAAATCACAATAATTTTAAGGGGAACTATTTCTTAAAATGGGATCAACGTTTTCATTTTCAGCGACTTAAAATTTTATTTAATAATTATTTTAAACTGAAGTACACTAGCTAATATGGAGTTTATTATCGTCAGAGGCGGATCCAGGATTTAAATACTATGGATTCAACTTTTAAGGTTTTTAGCATCGAACCCATTATATTTTTAAAGTTATGAGTTCATATCTATTATTTTTGTAATTTTAATGAATTTTTACACTGCGTAGAAAGTTATGGGTTCAGTTGAACCTGTTAGTTGTTCACTACATCCGACTCTATTAACCGTGTACTCAAATACTAGTTTCTATAAACTATAAGGGCTAGAGGTGCAATTCTTTACAAGAAAAGTCCCACGAGCAAAGTCACCAATACAATTATTTGGAAATTAAGGGCTAAATCGCAAAACGCTAAGACACGGGAGCTCGTTGGCTAGTTCAGTTATCCACAAAGCAGTGACACAGCTTTTCCATCTTCTGTAGTCAAAGCAGCAGAAGAAAGAAAAGCTTTGGACTTTCAAATGAACGGAAACCACCCTTTTAATAGAGCCAAAATGGCTATGCAAACCTCTTCATATAAGGTTTTTTTATGAGTTTTCTTGATGAATTAAAGTTGCAATTTTTATGGGTTTCATTGCTTTCCCAAGTTTTTTTCTTAATAAGAATACAATCAATGTCATTATTTGACTATCTTTTTTTAGTTCATGCAGTCAAGATTCAATTTTTATTAAGGTCCAATTGAGAGTGTCACTTTATTGTGTGTATCTGCATAATGGATTATTGCTTCACTCATTTTTTTTTCTATGGGAAGAGTCTTGATTATTGTTTGCATGCCAGATGCTTGATAAGATGCCACTTATAATTCATTGTGTGTAATTGATTTCTTTGAATGTTGTGGCATCTTCATTTATGCTTCCGGTGGCTGATGTAGAATCTTTTGTTTGCTCAGCTTTGGTCATTAAAGAGTTGCTCATCCCTCAGGGAAACCACTTCAGTTAGCCTGTTAAATTTAAGGAGCAGCTCTTCTGCTAGAGTTTTCTCTCTTATGAACATGACCCGCTACTCTACCTACTCCAATAATGATTCTTTTCCCTCCACGAAGAGGAGGTCTCGTGGACCGATGATGGCAGCCAAGAAAAGGTCTGAAGGTAGGGAATTTGATATGATATTGCTGGAAATTATGTTTTTTTGAGTATAAAAATGAGCTGGTTATTGTAGTTACTAGTCACTTCGGTCATTGCTGACAAGATGCAGTATTATAAGCTGATTGGCCTGCTTGATGTTGTCTAGGGACTAAGCAGGAAGATGGGAAATACAAGGACACAGTTGATCTACCAAAGACTGCCTTTGGCTTGCGAGCAAATTCCACAGTCAGGGAACCTGAACTTCAGAAAATATGGGATGACAACCAGGTTTTTAAAAGAGTTGTTGAGAGGAACAGTGGGGTGAGTGCTTGAAGACTGACTTAAGTATCTCTACTAATGAGAATTGCTTTTGACTAATGTTTACAGTTTCTTGATAGGGCACCTTTGTTCTGCATGATGGACCTCCTTATGCTAATGGTGACTTACACATGGGACATGCTTTAAATAAGATCTTGAAGGACATTATTAATCGTTATAAGGTTGGCATGTAAGCTTACTCTTTCTTAGTTAGTATTATTATTTTATGTATGTGCATTGGACTAAATAGCAACAAGGTTCATTGGTTCTCTTTGGTGGTTAGCCTTCGCGGTGGTAGGAACATTAACATGTTGCGTGTATATGAGTAAATTCTTGATTGGCACATTAGGGTTTGAATGCCAACAGTGGCTGCTTCGGGTAGATCATATTTGATTTGCCACTTTTGGTTATAGGTGATCTGTTGAGAGCTCTGAGCCTTTAAGTTACTCGCTTTCAAGTCTTGATCTGATAACATGGAGCACTTACTTCTACATAAGCTCTTTTGAGGTACTTTGAGATTCATCAATGGAAATTCTTCATTAAGTTAGATCATTTTGTGATAGTAACGACACTCATCATTAGGATAATTCTATTCTTTTCATTATGATAAACATAAGTCCTTCATAAATATGTTGTTACTGTGTAGCTCTTGCTATAGATAAAGGGTTATTCTTCTTCAGAAGAGAACTGCTTTATAAATCAATCAAAAAATATTTAGAGCAACCACAGGTGTTTTTTTCCATGTAAATAATGAAAGCTTCAACTCTATGATTTTTTTCTTTTTATTCTTTTTTTTTTATAACTGTGATGTCCGGACCAGCTTGCACGCAACTCGACTAATTCAACAGGGTACCTTTTTATTTTTCATTATTTTATCAAGGATAGAGTTGATTCATAGCAAGAAGAGGAGACAAAGGGGTAATCCCCTGTTTGTATATGTCAGAGAATGCTACACCTATCTGTCATCGGTTATGTAAAGGTATTCAAAGGGGTTTAAATGGTCCTGTGCTACTCCACCATACCCTTAATGTTTTGGGTTGAACACTCAGATTCACATGGTATCCGAGCTAAAAGTTGGTGAACCCATTTTCCCAGCCTCTTTATCTCTTCATTTCTATTGCTCTAGATCTCTCTCTTTCAATGCAGCCCATGGAGTTGCTTAGGGTTTCTCTCTCACACACGGTTCAGCCCAATGAGCCACTAGCATTGCTCCAAGCCAACTTATTAGCCTGTTCAGCCTAATCTGTCTCTCTCTCTTTCTCTATTCCAAGCCCACTTTATTTAGCCTCCTCTCTCTACTTAAAAAGAAAAAAAGAAAAAACAAAAGAAAAAAAGAAAAATTGAATCCACGTGTAAACCCTAAAACCTGGTTACATGTGCCGGAGGGTGTTAGAGAATACTATACTCCAGCTGTAGCCTTAAGATTTTGTGTTGAATGTTCAAATTGTTTCATAGTGCAGATGAATTGGTGACTTCTGTAGACAATCATATTATATTTTAGGTTTGTTCTCTACATTTTAGTATACTGCTTGTATATGGGATTTGCCGCTAAATCAATAAAATTATTTTACCTTATAAAAAATGTGTTACGACTAAGAAGAGAGAGAACGGAAGATGAAGAGAATATAGGATTATGTGATGTTAATAACATAGATCTTCGTAAGTGTAAGCACCAGAAATGAAAAAGAATCATGTTGCTCACTAACAAATTGTGTATTGGAGAGATCAACCTCAGCCAGCTTCCTTATTGGAGCCTGAAAAAGACTTGTCAAGTCGAGCGACAACTAACCTGAGTGTATGTAGCTCGCAAGCCGGCTTAGGAAATTTTAACCCTCACTAGCTGAACTTTGCCTAATTTCTACAGCCGCTGGTGTTGTCAAATAGTTTGTCGAAAGATTTCCTTTACTTCTCACTAGTCATTACATGATTTGTGCCCACACAGGTTGAGCTCTAGTGTAATATCGTCTGCTTTTATCTGCTAGATCTGGATAAGATCTTTTGCATCCATGTTGGTTAGCTTAAGCACATAACACAAGCAGGTAGGTGAGATTTGTACTGAAAAATAACAAAAGCTATAAGGCTTTAACATGATGTTACTTCAACATTTTAGCATCTCAGTGCTATGCTGGCTGTAATATTGTTCAGTATGGTTAATATTGTGTTCTATGTTGCCTAAAATTTTTCACACGGACTCAAGGGAGCACTAAGTTAACAAGTGATTCACAAAGACTACATCCCAGGCAGCCTGGAACTTATTATGTCTACGTACAAATTATGCCAGAACTTAGAGTTAACGGGCTTTTACCCCTACATGCAATTCATTTCTGTATATTAACATAAGAATTCCTGCCATATCTAATCAGTTCCTTCTGTTTTATCAGCTTCTTCAAAACTTCAAAGTTCAGTATGTTCCCGGTTGGGATTGCCATGGCTTACCAATTGAGTTAAAAGGTAAACTTCATTGCTTGTGCAGTTTCAGTCAAGTTCGTTGAATATTCCTATGCTTAAGTCTAGATTAACGGTTAAACTATGTTAGCAGATGTAACCTATATTTACGGGGAATGTACTTGTCAAAGTTGGCTTTGTCCTTAAAGAAGTATCTATTTGTTAAAATTCTCTGCCACTGCGCTACTTGAGTTGTTATGCTTAAGAAGCAGACATTTGTTGGCGTAAACCATTTGTGATGCAAAATACCTAGTCTGAACTTCCAAATTGGCAGACCAATTACAAATATAAGTCAGAGATGGTAGCCTGTGCTTTCGATAGAGCTTTACTTAAGGCCGTGTATCATTCTTTGGTTGACCTCTGTTGTTCTTAGCCTATTTCTCCTTTCTACTTCAGATCCTTTGATTTAACTACACTGGATTACTCAAAACTACAGATCATGTGCACTTCAGATTGGCATTACTCAAAACTACAGATCATGTGCACTTCAGATTGGCTTCTTTCCTGATCAAAACCAGTCTTTGAAACAATTTCATTGGTCTTTTGAGATGAAATGTTACCTATTATTGGCTTAAGAGCATGTAGACTTAAGTACAACCATAATCAAATTGATTTTTCCCCCTTGGTTCCTGATCAGAGAATGTGCTGCAAGCTTCTTTTTAATGAAGTAAGATCCTTTTGCATAGAGGTTAATATAGATATTATTGCTGTCTGTGGAAACTCCACCTACTACAGTTCTTTTTTCCCACATTTTCTCCTTCTCTCTCTCTCTCTCTCTCTCTCTCTTAATCAGTTCCAATGATTAGAGACTATCATTCTCAGGCAACTCCACTTTATTCCTTAACTATTTGGCAAGACTTGTTTTGGAAATTTAAACACTATCTCGAGTGTCTGACATGGTGGATAAAAATTATGGAATAAGGGGGACCAAAACTTTAGAACATACCATTATGCTGTTCTCTTCTATCTGTGCCGCCTAATTTTTATTTTGGTGGCATGACAGCTTCTTTTAACTTCAGTGTTACAGTCACTAGATGCTGATTCCAGAAAAGAGCTTACACCGCTAAAATTGCGAAACAAGGCAGCCAAATTTGCAAAATCAACAGTGCAGAGTCAGATGGCATCATTTAAGGTTGTTTATAATATACTACTTCCCATTCTATATTCTTTCATCATGGTCCTTCTACTCTTCCTTTCTTGTTTATTCTGTTTTATCATAATGCTAACATTTATGAGTCTGAGATGGTTGCAGCGTTATGGAGTATGGGCTGACTGGGATCAACACTATCTAACTCTTCATCCAGAATATGAGGCTGCTCAGGTATCTTCACAGCAATTCTTTTAGCTCCTTCTCTGTCTTTTGCTGAATCTCGCATAGATCTGCTCTTATTGGTAATGCTTTTGTGGGTTTGCTTTTGTACTAAATGTTTTGTGTGCCTTCTCTATTTCTATCCTTGTTATGAAAGCTAGCACTAATGCTTTTCTCTTTGACAGGTAAACTGCATATATTTCTTTTTATGTTTAACAATAATTATACCGTCAAACTAGTCTTACAAAACTCCTTTCCTGCTTTATGCTTCTCTACTAGATTGAAGTATTTGGCCAGATGGCTATTCAAGGTTTTATCTACAGAGGCAGGAAACCAGTTCATTGGAGTCCCTCATCTCGAACTGCACTTGCAGAGGCTGAACTGGAGGTATGTGGACTTCTATTGCTGCTTCTTCGTAGATGACCTACTTTCTCTGTGATACTCTATTCCACCTGGGAGATTGGTAAAACTTGAATGATTTACAAGGCCGTGGGTTCTACTACTTTTTGACTTTAACTCGTACTTTCTGGCAGAGTGAGGGTGAAACCTCATCAGTTGTCTGGGCAATAGCATAGTCTGGGTCATGATGTTGTTGTATCTCCCATTTCATTTTTTTAGAAGAGGTTTTGTGTGGTTAACATCTCCCCCCCTCTCTCTCTCTACTTTTTTTTCCGATTTGATATATGCTATATGCTATATCATAAATAATTTACTGGAAAGGTTGAACGGTGTAACTTTGATCTGCTAGTTATATAGTTGTATGAGTATGCATATATATATGTGTGTGTGTTTATGTATATGTATATATTTATTCGTGTGTATATACACGGTTTCTATCTAACATCTATGAAGTTTATATGCAGTATAATGAGGAGCATGTGTCAAAGAGCATGTATGCTATTTTCAGCNCCCCCCCCTTTTTTTTTTCTTTTTCTTTTTCTTCTGTAAATAATCCAAATTAGGAAAGGTGTTATGCTTCGAACATTATTAGTCCACTTTGCATGTTGTATAAGACAGACTCATTGGAACTATGGCTTCAGGTTAAACGTTTCCTGCTTGGACCATCAAATTTCTGTGTGAAAGATATCGTAGTTGTCACTATTGACATGAAATAGTTAAATATAAGCTGGAATATATTGTCTAGATAAGCGTGCATATTTTGGCACTGCACAACATAGCCAATCCATGAAAAGCTTATATATAAGCAACCAAACACTAGAATGGTGCTGATGCAGTTATGTGCTGATAACTGTTTGTTAAGTCCCACATTAGTTGGAGTGGGATGTGGTCTCTTTATATGGTTTTGGGCAATCGTTTCCTCATGAGCTGACATTTGGGGTTGAGTTAGGCCCAAGGTCCATTCCTTCACATGATATCAAAGTCAAACCCATCGATGCCTGTTGTTGTGTTTCTCAATATTCAGCCCCTGTGTTATGTTATCCATGCTCCAGTTTTCCAGTCCTGGGAATTAAGGGGGTCTCAAGTCCCACATTGGTTGAGGGATTGGGTTGTGGTTTTCTTATATTATCTTAGGCAATTCTCTTTTCATGAGCTATGTTTTGGGTTGAGTTAGACCCAAGGTCCATATCTATCCCAAAAAAAAGGTTAGATCCAAGGTCCATTTTGTCACAACTGTGTCATATCCACTGCTTAATGAGATTGATTTCTTCACTTAAATTTCCGTTGTTGCTCTGATTTTGAGGAATCTGCTTCCTGGGGGAGTATCTTTTGCCGAATTTACTGGGTTAGTGCATGTTTTTTGTCCATCTTTATGCTGCATCCTTTTTCCATCCTTTTTGAGAGAAGCAGATTTAAGAACTAGATAAATTTGTGTCTGTGTAAGACTTAAGTAACCAATGCTTGATTTATTCTCAAGTTTCAGAAGCATTTCAGGTTTGTATGAAATGCTAAAGATACTTCCCTTTTCAAGTGGAGTTCTTTTTTTGTTATAGAATTGAATTTATTGACCACAGCCCGTTGTCTCAACAAAATATAAGTGCTGCTAGTCTGTTATCATGTGAAATTTTGCTTGGTTTTTCTATAGTCAATGCTCATTAAGTCGTGGTATGGAAATTCATTTTTTCCATTTCCATTAATATATTGAGGTACAATTATTGTCTAATAATAATTGCGGGGATTTGCAGCTGTTGCAGTAAATGGTAAGCTTCAGTATGCCGTCGTTGAAGTTTGCTCAGCATCGACAGACGATTCTACATCTCCCGGGGATGGAAAGAAGAGGCTTGGAAATTTCTTGAAGGGCGATAAAAGCCTATATCTTATTGTAGCTCTGGACCTTGTATCAGCATTAGAAGCAAAATGGGGCTTGAAGCTTGCCTTGAAGAAAACAGTACTGGGTTCGGATCTTGAAAATTGCAGGTGAAGTGTTGAACTTGTACGCCTGGTTGCACAAGCTTATTGCTTGTGCTGCCAAATACAATTCAAATCGTATATTTCCAATGATTTTCATGTGTTTATGCTATCAGAATTCCAAGTTAATTGATGGACCTTAAGTATAATCCATGTGGGTCCATAACCAAGCTTGTTGTTCATGAGTTCCTCACAGTTGTTATTAGAGAGGAATTGTTCATTATTACATCAGGAACCCACTTTCAATTTTTCTCAGGTACACCCATCCTATAGATAGCCGGGAATGCCCTGTTGTCATTGGGGTCGATTACATTACAACAGAGTCAGGAACTGGATTAGTTCATACCGCACCTGGTCATGGACAGGAAGATTATGTAACCGGCTTGAAATATGGCTTGCCTATAGTTTCCCCTGTTGACGATGTTGGGAAATTTACGGAAGAAGCTGGACAATTTAGGGGGCTCGATGTGCTTGGCAATGGCAATGTTGCTGTTATTGATTACTTGGATGAACAGCTGTCACTGGTCATGGTAGAGCCATACAGTAAGTGGTTACTGTTTCAGTGCCTATTCAGATGTTCAGAAACTATAAGTCTCCCATGATTCATTAAATAATGTGATATTTCTTCTGAGTGTAATCCTAATCTTTTCTTCTAATAAATGTTGTGCAGAACACAAATACCCTTACGATTGGAGAACAAAGAAGCCCACAATATTCAGGGCTACTGAACAATGGTTTGCATCAGTAGAAGGATTTCGTGATGCTGCAATGGATGCAATCAACCAAGTAACTTGGACTCCTACTCAGGTATTTGTTAATACTCTGGCTCTCAAATTCTTTAAAGATAGCAGCTGGTCCTTTAGTGGCTTTGTAACTGCATAATATAATTGTCTCCAGGCAGTAAACCGTATTTCTGCTATGACATCTGGCCGCTCGGATTGGTGTATATCACGCCAAAGGACATGGGGAGTCCCCATTCCAGTCTTTTACCATGTTGGATCAAAGGAGCCACTGATGAATGAAGAAACTGTAGATCATATCAAATGTAAAGCTTTCATGTTGTGATTTCTTGTACTTCTGCATATGGGGCGTGATAAATAACTTGTCTACTACATTGCATATGAATCTTATTAAATATGAAAATCTTTAATTTGCATTGGGAATATGCAGATGTTCATTCTCACTTTGTATCATGATTTTTGCAGCTATAATTTCGCAAAAAGGAAGCGATGCATGGTGGTACATGTCAGTGGAGGAATTACTTCCTGAGAAATATTGTGATAAAGCATCAAACTATGAAAAAGGGACTGATACGATGGATGTTTGGTTTGACTCAGGTGATATAGCTTCTTTCAGTACTCTGTACCTGTTGAACTAGCTCAACAATTCCCTTTTTGGGGATAAATGTTGATCATTGTTTACTTGAAACTTTATGGTGCCATGGCTAAAATCTATATGTCTTGGTGGTTTCTCCTTTGCTTCTTGTTGTTTTTGAAAATAATTTTATCTATTCAGCAGTACTAGTCAGTTTCTCCTCTCCGGCCATCCTTTATGATTGAGTTTCTGAAGCTGGGTTTGGTAGGACCCCATAATTAAAGTGACTAAAAACTTCTTTTTCTTAAACGGGCAAATAGAATACCTTATCCTCCAAATTTCGAGTTTACCTTGATCAGGGCAAGTAGTTAAATAATTGTAGCTAATTCTCAACATTATGGAATTACTTCCTGGTTCTTGCTCTCACTGAATGTGGGACACTTAACAACGACCATGCCATTCTTGGTGAAGATGGTAGTTGAATCAAAGGTGACAAAGAAGAGAAGGTTCTTGAACCGGATACAACCGAATAGAGTGTGATGAACTGTTATCACCAAGTGAGATGGTCGAAATTCTTATTAACCACTTTGCCAACAAAGCTGCCTGTAATTAGGGGTGTCAATGGTTCGGTTCGGCCGGTTATTTTATAAAATTTGTACCATACCAATTTTTCGGTTATTTTATTATGTATAACCAAAACTAGACTTTTCGAAACCGTCCCAATCATGTCGGTTTCACTTCGGTATCGGTACGGTTCGGTTAATTTTCGGTATTTTTTAAATGTCATATAAAATTCACCAGTAAAAATAGAATGCAACAACGTACCTTCTTTTATAGGACTTAGCGAAACTCTCTAGACATTTTTACTGTTTAAAGGATAATGAATTAAAAAACATGAAAAATGGCTAGAGTATAGATACACAACTATTCGACACCAACGTAAAAGAAACCAAGTAAAAACAAAGAAAATATAAATCACACGAGTGGAAAGATATTAACCAAGTTGGGACTCAAGAATAAAGTCTATATTAAATATTTAAAAAGATAAATCTAAATTATATAAAAGGAAACATATTCAAAAATTGTAGTTTGCTACTCATAATTGTTAGAATACTTTGTGTCTTGCTAATAAAGATACTTGAAATAGCTTAGTTTAAGTATAAGTAGCAGAATAGGTTTTAGGAATTAGTATTTTGAGTTTAATTACTTATTGGCTTGTAACAGTTTTCATAATTCCAAGACCCAATGAAAAATTTAATACTTTATTAGTTTTAAACTTACTATATGAATATATTTTTCACATGTAAAATTTATTCGGTACGGTTTGGTATTTTTTCGGTTTATTTTTATAAAATAAAAAACCTACACTAATTATCGGTACGGTTATAGATTTATATAAAAACCTACGGTTTCTTTAAAAGAAACCTAAAAATCGGTTCGGTGCGGTACAGTTCGCTCGGTTTAGTCGGTTTTCTAATATCCATTGACACCCCTACCTGTAATGCCAACAAATTGAATGTCCTCATTCCCTTTTTGGGTCATTTGTGATATTCCCAACTATATTGGGTGCAGGAATGGATCACCTTGCTAGATTCCATTTTCTTTTCTACCCTATAGGACTACTTCAACTAAAGCTCCAAAATGTGAACAACGTACAAGATTAAAGACAATCTTCATATCCATGATGGTTAATATTGCCGAAATAGGAATTTTTCAAAAATTGTTTATTTGAGTGACAAACATTTGTTTGCGTTTGTGGAAGAGCTGAGTACAATATACACAGAACTTTATCCATCTTCGCTTGGAGTTTTGTTTATTATTGTTCCAGCAAAGTGTGCCTCAGCTTATATCCTCTTCCTGTCCATTTATGCATGCATTTGCATTTTCCCTTACAATTCTAATAGGTTAATTCAACTGGAAACGGAGGTGAAAGTTAGGGTTCTTTATTTACAACCTAAGATGAGCGGAAATCCTACAAAACTAACATTTTTTGCATTTCAGTTTTTCCTGCTGCATCAAATTTATAGTTTTTGGGTGTTCAGTATGTCGTTCTTACATCCTTCTCTCTCTCTCTCTCTCTCTCTTTTTCTTTTTTGTGTCTTATGTGTTGTTTCCCTGATATTTTCTCTCTTCATCAATGTGCCGGTTTAACTATATTTCATGAGAAGTCCCTAATGTAAATTTTTCTTTAGCACTAGGATTATAATGTTAACCACTGTTTACTCAGGTTCTTCATGGGCTGCGGTGCTGGACAAAAGAGAAAGCCTTAATTACCCTGCAGATTTATACCTTGAGGGTACAGATCAACATCGTGGTTGGTTCCAGAGTTCCTTGCTAACTAGTATTGCCACTAAAGGTAAGGGGCATTTTGTAGTCCTCCTCTTCATCCTATGTAATATTACTTAAGGTTTAGAGAATCTTAAATCTTTACCTTATAAAAGAAAAAAAATCTTTTGTTAGTCTCTTTCTCCCAGGAAATATCAAGCTTGGCTACAAAAATTAGGTAAAGAAACAGGGTTAACTTCCCGGGGAATTAGTCGACCCCATTGACCTCCTTTTTGGGCTTTATGGTTGTTCAATGTTTCTACATCTGAAACCATAACTATAGTCCTCTACTATCTGCTATTATTCATATAGATCTCTCTCTCTCTCTCTCTGCAACTTCAGTCCTACAGTGTACCATCTTATTCTCCTTAAACAGTGGTAAGTTATATTCTGGAAGAGGATAAAGGATTTGCAAAAATTCCTGGACATTGGAGACAATGAGGGATGATCCAAAAGAAGCAAAACTGTTTTTGCTGCAAAATCCTTAGTAGGGGCTCTTACTACATGGCAGTAATTAGTGATTTCATTCTTATAGTCTAAATTTTAGATTTTGGCTCTTCGAGATATTGCCTTATAGTAATTTTCTCATCATATGTCATAATTGCAGGCATGGCCCCTTATCGTGGTGTTATTACGCATGGATTTGTACTGGATGAAAGGGGGTTGAAAATGAGCAAATCTTTGGGCAATGTTGTTGATCCAAGGATGGTGATTGAAGGAGGGAAAAACCAAAAGGTGTGTTGCCGATTTATTGCAATTAGTGTGCACCTCACACCTGCTCTTGACAAGAATTGACGTCTCTACTTTACCTTTGACAGGAAAGTCCTCCATATAGTGCTGATGTATTAAGGCTTTGGGTTTCAAGTGTAGATTATACCGGCGACGTGTTGATTGGACCTCAAGTCCTTCGTCAAATGTCTGACATATACCGGAAATTGCGAGGAACACTTCGATTCCTTCTAGCAAATCTCCACGATTGGAAAGTAGGTTTAACAATCTCAATCAAGGCTATTTCCAAAATAAGAATGTTCTTACATGCTCTGATCACTTGTGCAGCATCATCTTCTTTTTCTGCTAAGCTCTTTTTACTCTCTCTATCACACATACACACCTAGAGCATGTGCAGTCCGTTTTATAGATCCCTCTTATGCTCGACTCTTGAACTGAGTATTGTTTGTTACTTGTTAAAGTTGATGAGTTTATTAGTTTTCTTGAATTAGATGTTCATAACTTAACATTGGTAGTTTTGACGTGAAGTGTTATCTGAAATTTGCTTTCTGCAGGCTGATTGTGCAGTCCCGTATAGTGATCTTCCTATGATTGATCAGTATGCGTTATTCCAGCTTGCTAATGTTGTGAACAACATCAGAGAGAGCTATGAAAATTATCAGTTTTTCAAGATATTTCAGGTATGTTTTCTTTAGTTGATGTTTCAAGTTCCTGAAATGTGACGACTCTAAAACTTTGCTTATACGGAAAAAGGCAATTGTTTGATTGAAGATAGTAAGAGTGCATATCATTGAAGGAAAAGAGGAGCTTCGCAATTTCTTTTAACTACAAGAGGGGGAGGATCTTGGTCATGGTATAAGCTACGTACATTTCTCTCAGTTCGTCAGGAGATGAGATCTATAACCACAATTAGCAGATCAGTTGCATCATATATGTGTGTCAACATGAGCTAAGTGGTAAGGTAGAAGTGGCACTGTAGCAGTGGAGTTTAAGGATATAGACACCATTTCTGTCACCAATGACAAATCAATGAAGTTTTCAGAAGATTAAAACCTTGATGTACTTGTTCTAGTTTTACTTGATAGTTGGGGAAAATCTGAAGAAACTAGAAACTAAATCAGATATTCTTTATTTAAGCATACAAACCCTGTCAGTAAAAAAATAACATTTCGGCACCAGTCACACCTCGAAGTCAAGTTGTTGGATCCCTAGTTCTGCCCAAAGTTTCAATCTTAAATCTACGGTTCTCTAGGGGCAGTCAACTTGCTGCAGTTGTACTTGGTAGTTAGGAGAACAGAAGTTAGTTGAAGAGTTCTGGCTGCTTGAATGATATTTTGGGAAAAGGATAAAGGCTTAGCACAAGAAGTATGGAGGAAAATATTTATTCAGAAGAAAAAAAAAGGTAATACAGAAGAAAAATTTAAGGCCAATATCCAAGGAGGATTGACGATAGGGAACATAACACATCAATTCTGTTGAATAGAATGACTAATATTCAGTGAAGGCGTAAAAAGCAAAAAGCAAAATATTCCCTAAAATTCATGTAAGGATTCCATGAATACTGTTCATCCTCATTTATAATTCCTTTCTACACCAAAAGTAAAACAATATTATACAATAAACTTAATCTTTTGGAAAGAGTTAGCACTATCTTCAAAGCAACTTTCTTTCTGTCCAAACGATACAACATATGCGGGCTGGTATTGAATTTCACCTGTGAAGGTGTATTTCTATGAGCGGCTGATAAAAGCCAGCAACTTGTTAGGATTCAGTTTTGTCTTGCCAACAGCGTTATCGGTGGTTATTCTGCAAAATAAGGAGGGAATGGATGGATTCTTATCCAGTGCTAGTAAGGATCATTTCTGAAACAGAAGAGCTTTGAATAATTCCAATGGAAGGTGACCTAATAGCCTGGCTTGGAATGATAAGGTTAGGTTGAGGGGGATTTCTGGAAGAAACGTTCCATGATCCACTAAAGGAATGTACACCTTCCAGCTACCTAGTTTATTCTGTTCTACCACAGTGAGGAAGCTCGTCATGATCAGATCTTTCTAGCTGAGAAGGTAGGCATAAGAGCAACAAATCCTTTTCGGTGGAAGTTTAGTTGCAGCAGTGTCAAGGGCCTAGTGTAAAAAAAAGGGAGGATGTTTAGCTGCTATAAAGTGGCCACTGTGTGTGTGCGTGTGTGTGTGTGATTGAAACATCTGGTTCTACTTGTGTGATTCTACTTCATTTTCTCTTTAATCTCTATTATGTCTATATTTAAAAAAAAGGGGCTATAGGTTTAACTCTTTCGAAACTTCAAGGGATAGTGAATAAAAGGAGTTGTTTGGTTAGCATCTTTCAGGTGTGAGTTATCTTAATTCTGTGCATGAGTGATAATGTAACATCTGAATCGTACTATTGTAGTTCCGGCATCTACAGCCTCCAGTTTTCCTTGAAAAGTATTTGTTACCAGTGACAAATTGCATGTTTTTTCTCTTAGTCAGACAAGGCTGATAGGCTTCTAGGAGTCCAATATATTCCGAAGTTAAGTGAAATAATTACGTGATCTGATACATCGAAGTTCAATGGATAGACGAGCTTGTGGTGAAATTGGTTCTGGCAGTATGGAGAAGATTTCATCAGAACCTATAAAGCTGGAATTTGTAATACAGCTAGGAATTGCACGAGTGCATCTGTATGGCATAGAGAAATGCTACTCCCTCCATCCCAATTTATGTGTTGGTGTTTGACTGGGCACAATGTTTAAGAGAAAAGAAAGACTTCTGAAATTTGTGGCAAAAAACAAGTCATAGATATTTGTGTGGCTTTAAATCATATCATTAAAGGTCAACTAGAAAATGTAAAGTTAAGTTATTACTACTAAATATAGAAAGGTGTCATTCTTTTTAGGACTGACTAAAAAGGAAAGAGTGTCACATAAATTGGGAGGGAGTAATATTTAATTTACTTCTAATTTGACAAAATATTGATATGGAAGGTGTTAGCTATGCTTGTGCACAAAATCAACCTATTTATGCAAGTCCAGTTATGATGTCTTCTCTTGGTCTTGGTGCCATCTTGTCAAATTGATGGTATTAGAAGTTAACAAAACACTTGGATGGATGGGAGGTGAGCAAAGGAGGGAGAGAAAAAAATTTATTTCAATCCCCTCAAGTGTAATAAAGCAAAACGATATTCTTAACCAAGAATCATACTGGCGTAAACTCCACGTTAAAAGGTTATTAGATCCCTAATCTGTGACACCGTGTAGTAATACTATAATGTCGATAAGAAGATTATAAAGAGCCTTTTAGTATTTTCCATGAGATGGATATATTAAATATTTTCAGTTAATTTCCGGCTTCTTGCAGTTGAAAGTTTAATTTCATGAAAATGTTTGTTTTGAGATGAATTTAATTATCAACTGATGGACAGTTCTTTTGATACTTTACTAGTTTTATCCCTTTAATGGAAGGCATCCTTTTTTGTGTAATTATTATTCATTATCCCTGCAGGTGATTCAGCGCTTTGTGATAGTTGACCTCTCAAACTTCTATCTCGATGTTGCGAAGGATCGGCTTTATGTTGGGTAATACATGTTGTATCTCTACATACTCTTCACTTTTTTATTCTCTCCCCAAGCTTGTATAATGTTTCAAGTCCTGAGAAAATTTTAAAAAATAGTTAAAAGAATATAAAACAAAGCAAGACATAATGCTACCTTAGGCAGTGAGTACTGAATTGCTGCTATTAAAAGAGCGATATAGTAATTAATAGTTATAAGGATTGCTTTGCAGTTTTGAACCCTCTTGTATGAGGTACTTCTGATGGTGGCCTTTATTGAACCTGCAATTTGGCTTGTAGATTTATCCAGAAGTGGAATTTTGGCTCCTTACCTAATAAACCCATTTTTGCCATCAAAATGAGCTGTATTTGGGTACTTCTCATACAATGTTTTGGAAAGAAGAAAAAGAATCAGAAGAAAACGATAAGTAAGATCTGCTGTTGGTAAGAGATAGTATTGACTCATCAGAGATCGGTAGACTGTAGATAATGGAAGCTCAAAATATGGGAGACTGTAGGGAGGGAAGGAAGGAGAAAAACTGCAGTAGAGGCGATGGGGATAAGGTACCTGTTGGGGGCAGGGAGCCAGGATTGCAGTTGAGGCTACAAGGAAGGGGTAGTTGTGGATGGGCATTCTTGGTCGACTGGAGTTGGAGGTAGGATTACAGAGGAGAAGCAGGGAGTTGAGGAAGGGTAGGATTTGGGTTGCTTAGAGCTGCTGGTGTTGCGGACCAAATTATTCCTCAAAATTGAAATCATTTTGCTTGCTTTTTTTTTTTTTTTTTTTTTTTCCTATGGAAGTGTCAAAAGTTGGAGTAGAAGTGTCACTTTCCATTAAGCTGAATGGAAGCCAAATTACCCTCTTTTCACAAGGGCCAAAGCTGCAAAAATTCCTGCTGCTGATGTCTCGGTTAAAGTGAACTTTCTTGTTTGTTTTGTTGTTAGGTTTGTGACTCTAAATCCTCTATTCGATCAAATAAACGACTGCGATTCTGAATCCCCGAACCTTGAACAATTCATCAAAACACAGTTAATCACAATTTATGGAATACTATGAAACATATCAATGTCACGTCTTGGACGCTTGTATAGATGGAGGACAATTCATTTGGGCTCTTTGCTCCTTAGATTTGTATTCTTATCCTCATTCTGGAAGCCTAACATGTAGATTATGGGCTCTAGAAAAAGCAAGAGAACCTTGTTGTTCCAGTTTATCTTTCTCCTAGTAGGTTCTGACTCAAATTTTATATGGCATGTAACTTATTCAACAATCAATTACTTATGTAGAATGTCTCGGAGTACCTCGGGTTGATAAGTTTATCTTATGTGAAAAGTGAAGTTTGATGGTAGGAACATGTATCTACTAAGAGTCTTTGTATCAAACTTGAGATCCAAGCTACTTATTTAGTTCTCTTAGAAAGTTGGTATTCTGAGTCTTCAATTCTTGGCTCCAAGTCATCATTTTGGTGACAGGTTTCATATCCCATATACAGTTGTTGATCTAGGGTTTTATGTCCTCTGTATATGAGTTTTGACAGATTTTCTAAAAATTGACTTCATGTGGGGATTCAGTGCCTTGCTCTTTGTTTTACATTGATGCTTCTGCTATTCTCTTTGTATTAGATATTGTAGGCGACCTTTGAATCCAGGCTTCAGCTTGTTACCTGAATTCATTAACAGCTCGTATTGAAAGATTAGTTAGATGCTAATGAAAATTGTTATTTTCAGGGGCAGTACAAGTTTTACAAGGAGGGGTTGTCAAACAGTCCTTGAAGCCCATTTGCTTTCAATCGGAAGGATAATTGCTCCCATCTTACCTCATTTGGCTGAGGATGTCTGGCAGCATCTTCCTTTCCAGCATACTACTGAAGATGGGCATGTTGCCAAATATGTTTTTGAGTCAAGATGGCCTGAACTAGATGCAGAACACCTTTCTTTTCCAGAGGAAGAAGTTGATTTTTGGGGAAAAATACTTGAGGTAACTGTTCTACATCTGAGACAAAGATGAGACATTAATGATGACTAGGGAGTTAAACAGGGTTAGAATGCCTTGCAAATTGATGTTATTCATGTACTCATCTCCCTCAAATATAGGTTTTTTTCATCCCTCGTGTATAGGATGACTAGGAGTTTTCAGAAAAAAAGGAAGAGTATAGGTGTAAAACATCATTGGCTTAGGACTCCTTGCAATGTGATATTTTCCTCTTATCCTTGCCCCTTAGAGTACTGGGATATTGACTAAAGCTTCTCAATTTCTATACGAAGACGTTTTGATACAGATAACTCCACATAGTTTGGCCCAATCTTTCAATCGGGTACCAGTTGTTTAAACTTAAGTTTGGCCTAGTATTCCAGTCTAGCTACCAGTTGCTTAAGTAAGCTCAAAGGCAGCTGATCTCTATATTTCTATGATGCACTCCATGTAAGAATTCCACAGCCCTTTGGTAGCTTTAATAATTTGGGGCTGCGAAATTATAGTCTATTACATCAGATGTCTTTCTGTTTAACAACTTAAACTATTTGTGGCATTTTTCTTTATGCCAAACAGAGCCTATTTCACTTTCTATTGAATTGCTGTTCGTTTGGAGGTCCCGACTTTTCCTTTTCTCGACCTGCTTTATTAATCGTTATCTGATGATGGCAATTTGAACAACTATGACCAGCTAAGGACGGAAGTTAACAAAGCATTGGAAGTAGCTCGAAATGGAAAATTGATCGGCTCCAGCTTAGAGGCCAAGGTGTATCTCTACTGTTCTAATGAAAGCCTGGCTGAGAGACTAAAGAAAATGTGCAAACCTACAAATGATGCAGATGCTCTAAATCGCATATTTATAACATCTCAGGTATACTGCGCTCTCGTTTGAACTATAGTTATGGCTGATGCTCAAGGCTCTATAGGCCATGGTATAAATGCGTCAATTTCCATGTCTTCACAAGCACCAGCTCTCCCCGCTTTTAGTTGCTATGTTGTTGCCGAGCTCACTTGAGCTTGAAACAAACTAAATTGAATCCTCTTGAAAACCTACTTTGAGTTGCCAATAAAGTTCTTCAAACAAATATTTGGGTTGGTCACACTTGCAAATTGGTCATCCTTTCGGCTGAACTCTGTTACACACGTGTGGCAATAGTTCCACTTGAAATATTATTGTCTCTGTTTAGGAATTCTTGGACTCCATAATCGAAATATCGTGTTTACTTGATGAAGTTAGGTTTGAAAACTTAATGCAAAAAGAGTTTCTTCGAGCACATGATTTTATGATTTTCTTGGTTTGATGCATTACGTTGTTGCACTTTCTGCAGGTGGAGATTCTCAACTCCTTGGAAGATGAAAGGATTAAAGATGTTCAGTACAACGGAGAGTACCTCATTGAAGAAGGGAACAAAATCTGGATTGGCGTATCCCATGCAGATGGCTCAAAGTGCGACAGATGCTGGAATTATTCACCTCAAGTAGGTTCATTTACTGAGCATCCTTTGCTATGTGGCCGCTGTCACAACGTGGTTATTGGTCTACCAATTCGTGATCCTGAAGATTTAGCCAAGGTCACACAGAGTGAAGCAAAAGAGGCTATAGCACAATGAAGTTAATCGGTCCAAAAATCTGGAGGTTTACAACTACTACAAGCTTCACATCCAACTGTAATTTTTGTCTCCGATTGAATCTTCAAAAGTTTCAATTTCATTACCAAATGAGGCATCAGCCCTTCTGATGTAATTCATTAAAATAGAGAAAGAAAAACACAAATGGAGAATCTTTTTTATATTTTAAAGTTAGGATAATATTTTTGTACATGCATTAATGCATAGATGGATAACTGGCCTTTTGTAAAGGATCTGATTCAGACCCTGTTTGATGATCCAACAATAAATTACACGATTATTTTAGGCATCCCGTTAGACTTTTTTTTTAGTGGAAAATTATTTTGGTAAACAATATTAAACCAGCTGGGATTGCAGGATTTTGGACTCTGAGAGGGAAGAAGAGAGCAACTGTGGTTGAACTGATGAAATGTAGTTATCCCTTGATTGAGTTTAGTTTTTTATGGGGGTTCAAAGTTATTAGGAGGCTCAAAATTCAAGCACTAAAATCATTATTATTATTATTATTATTATTATTATTATTATTATTATTATTATTATTATTATTATTATTGTTATTATTAATAAGGTAAAAATTGCACGGGGCGCCCTATTTGGTCGCCCCCATTTAATCTATATATTTTTTTTTAAACTTGTACCCACTTTTTAAATAACTTCAATTTAAAAACAAATTATAAATAATTACGTAAGTTAGTAGACAATAATTTGTGAATATTTCCACGTACGGGAAGTTTAAGGTCACACTTAGTGATTCTTTTCATGATAATTCTGTTCTTTTCACGTTTATTGTTTCCAAAATTTATGATTTAGATACTGTTGGCAATTTGATTATTTATCTAGTATGTTAGAAAGCTTTTTCAAAAACTTCAGCTTATATAGTGCTGAAGTTTTTACAAATGAACTAAATAATTTCAGCATCTTCTGCTGAAGTTTTTGAAAAAGCTTTATGACAAAACTAATGAATCCAGGACAAAAAAACTTCAGCTTATTTAGTGCTGAAGTTTTTACAAATGAACTAAATAACTTCAGCATCTTCTGCTGAAGTTTTTGAAAAAGCTTATCCAGGACAAAAAAACTTCAGCTTATTTAGTGCTAAATTTTTTATAAATGAACTAAATAACTTCAGCATCTTCTGCTGAAGTTTTTGAAAAAGCTTAATAATAAAACTAATGAATCCAGGACAAAAAAACTTCAGCTTATTTAGTGCACTTACAAACAAAAACTTCAGCAAATAGAGAACAAAACTTCAGCACTATGTTTAAGTTTAGCAATTACAAACAAAAATTTCAGCACACTTAGTTCAACAATTTTTGCTACTTCAGGCCCGTCTACTAGAATGCTGAAGTTTTGCGTGATTGCCTTTGCTACTTCAGCCCCGTATGTTGAAGTTACACGAAAAAGTGGGTACGCTTGCAATTTTTTTTACAAAGCGGGCACAAGTTAAAACGTGACCCAAAAAGCGGGTATAGATGCAAATGCCCCATTTATAAGAGCTTGAATAATAAAAGTACTTTCGTGGTCCAACGATCCATAAAGATTGAATTATTGTAAATCTTGTGCGAGTATTTTCAAAATTTTAAATAGCCATGAGTCTTTTTATTTTACAGGTGTCTTATCTATTTTCAAGTTGCTTGCCGCATAAAGTCTTGTGGCCAAATACTTTTACATGACAAGAGTTTTTACATGTGGCACTGATTTAAAAGATTGTCTGATAAATGGCCTTGCTAAGCCAAGTGTCATTTTACATGAGATGTGTTGTCATCTTGCATGAAAGAAAATTAACAAGTAAGACACTTGTCATGAAACTAAACTCATTTTCATACTATAAATAGAATGATCATTAGCCATCATATTCACTCAATTCTTGACCAAAAGTTCTTTTTAACTAATCATTACTTTCTTCCTACCTATTGTTATTATTATTATTATTAATTTTTTTTAACCTGCTGGATTTATTATTTAATTTTGTTGTTTCCTGTATCCACTAAATAAATAGAGACGGACTTGTTTAATCCTAGGAAAATATTTCACATTGCTGAAATAATTTCTTAGGACAGTGCCCAGCACGACTCAAGCCAATTCGTATATCTGCTTACAAATAATATTATTATTGTTATTTTCCGATGTCATTTCCCTTCAATCTAAAAAACTATAGCAAGTAATACCACTACAGAAATTTTTAATGGTACTACCAATTTTGGTGTTGACTCCACTGTTCCAGCTGTCCTGCCAGATATCCACGGTATTGCAAACATGTTATTGCATCCATAACTTTGACAGACACTAATGTCAAAACACATGTATATGAATAGACATGGTTACATATCCAATGCTAATATTAAAACCTTCAAGAAAAATGCACCTCAACGCAAGAGAAGAGTTATGATAAATGACAATTTCGCTAAGTCAAAATTAAATTTGACTAAAGCGGATAATATAATTATTAGGGTCATTTCCCAAATAAATAATGTGGACAATGTGAGAAATTGAGTGATAGACTCTGGTGCTACTAGGTACATTTGTGTAGACAAAAATAATTTTTTTTTACACCCAAGTTGAGGAAGGAGAAGAAACTATTTATCTTGGTGACTTAAGAACAACTAGCATTCTTGGTAAAAGAAAAATTGTTCTCAAACTCATATCTGGTAAAACTCTAGCATTGAGTGATGTGTTGCATGTACCTAATATCCAAACCAATTTGATTTCTGTGAGATTATTAGGAAAGGTTGGAGTGAAGGTTTTCTTTGAAAATGATGAGGTCATACTGACCAAAAATAATATTTTTGTGGATAATGGATATTGTAATCACGGTTTATTTGTGCTTAATGCTTTTGATACTAGATCTAAAAATACATCTTCTTCTGCTTACATGGTTGATTCTATTTCTTTATGGCATGCTAGCTTAGGACATGTTAATATCGCATATATAAGAAAATTGCAGCCGCTAGGATTAATATCTGGATTAGACTCAAATATTATTGACAAGTGCGAAATATGTGCTGAGGCTAATGAAGAAAATAATAAGCACACTGATTGAGGTTTCAAGTATTTCTTCACTGCCTCATTAAGGTATCGTGCAAGTTATTATATACATGGTGAGTAAGAGTCCTACAAGCTAATATGACATACTGCTATCTCTATCTCTAAGTAGTTAAGTATATCACAACTACTACTATATAGATGTAAACTAGAGGAGTTTTACATTCACACTAACTCTTCTCTAGTCGGCTAAGGTAGAGTTGGTTAACACAACTCCTAAGGTGACCAACGGCTTAACGAGGTTGTCTAACATCCCCCCTCAAGCTGGTGTTGGGATGACTCACAATTCCCAGCTTGGTTCGAAGTGTGTGAAACTGAAACTTTGGTAGTGGTTTGGTGAAAATATCTGCTATCTGTTGCAGCGACGGAATAAACTTTGTCACCATAGCTCCTTGAACAACCTTTTCTCGCACAAAGTGGTAATCAAGCTCGACATGTTTCGTACGAGCGTGTAAGACTGGATTAGTAGTAAGATGTAAAGCACTAATGTTGTCTGTGAAAAGCAAAGGAGGGCGAGCTAAGGAGACACCAATATCTTTCAACAAATAGGTTATCCATGTGAGCTTTGCAGCAAGTGAGGCCAATGAGCAATACTCAGCTTCGACACTCAATTTTGACATTGTATTTTGCTTCTTAGAAGACCAACTGATGCAATTAGAGCCAAGAAAGACACATAATCCAGTGGTTGATCGTCTAGTGAGAGGAACACCCAGCCCAATCAGCGTCAGAAAAACCAACTAGATTGAGAGAGGACTGAGCAGAAATCCGTAGACCAAACTGAGGTGTGCCAACAATGTAACGAAGCACCTTTTAATGCTGATCCAGTGGACATCCGTAGAGCTTTGCATAAATTGACACAAGAGGTTCACAACATGAGAAATTTCTGGACGAGTCAAGGTCAAGTATTGCAAAGCGCCGACGAGACTTCGATATTCTGATGCATCTATAGCAGCCCTAGTTGAGTCGTGAAGGCTATGTTTTTGGGACAGTGGCGTTGGAAGAGATCGTGCATCTATCATGTTCGTGCGACGTAGAATATTAGTAGCATACCTGCTTTGGATGAGAAAAAGACCAGTACTGGTGTGGTGAACTTCAATGCTAAGAAAGTAATGGAGAAGTCCTAAGTCTTTCATAGCAAAGTGGATTTGTAGCCTATGAATCAACTTAGACAACATGGAGGAATTACTCCCAGTTAATATAATGTCGTCAACATAGAGGATAAGCAAAATGGTGCCTTCGGAGGAGTGGATAACAAATAAAGAAGAGTCAACCTTGCTACATGAGAAGCCAAGGTGAAGAAAGTAAGTGCTAAACTTATGAAACCACGCCTTGGGAGCTTGCTTGAGACCGTATAAGGCATTTTTTAGGAGACAAACATGATTCAGAAAAATGAGATCGACAAAGCCGGGTGGTTGCTCCATGAATACAGTTTCCTTAAGATCTCCATGCAAGAACGCATTCTTGACATCAAGTTGTTTAATATCCCAATCTAATGTAGTAGCAATAGAAAGAACAATATGAATTGTTGTAGCTTTCACAACTGGACTAAATGTATCATCAAAGTCGACACCTTCAATTTGATTGTAGCCTTTCGCAACCAAGCGAGCCTTGAATCATTCCACAAACCCATCTGCCTTAAGCTTGGTTTGGAACACGTGAACCAACAATGTTCATATGAGGTTGTCTAGGTACCAACAACCAGGTTCTATTCGACGTTAGAGCCTGCAACTCCTCTTGCATAGCTGATAACCAATATGGTTTCGACAAAGCAGTTTTAATGGTCTTTGGTTCAGCAATATCAGTGTGAAGGGACACAGTAAGAGACTGAAAGTTTGGGTTAACCATGGAACGTGTCTTGGTTCGTGTTAACATGTGATGTGTATTATTAGAAGGTTGAGTACTATCAGTTGAAGGGTTTGTAGGCAAAGGTGGTAACTCCACAAAAAGTTCTATCCCTTCTATGTTTGAGATATCATGGCTTTGAGATGACTCTGTTGAATCATGTGAGGATGAAGAGCTGCTGGATTGTGAAGTTTCTGGGCTTTGTACAGCTGCATCAGGAGGTTCAAAACTGTGTGATGATAAAAGTGAGGGCGGTGGCTGTGTAGAGTCAGATCGTGGCTCCAAGGTTGTTGGCAATAGATTCACGGGTGCAATATCATTGTCTGCTACATTGTCGTCGTGTGAAGTTGAGGGATTATTTATCGGATAAGTTGCAGCTTGCAACTGAGAATTATGTTGCTCCAAGAA